CTAGCGCCAAACTGTGGGAACCGAGATTCACACTTGTCGATTTCCGTTAAATAAGGAAACTTAAGAAAACCCTAGTTTCCCAGAGGAACCGGATCTCTGCGAAAGCCAACGACAAGTAACCAAATAAATGCAGAAAATTATGAAAAACGCAATAAAACGAATTTATAAACAAAGTCGATCTTATTTCCGATTCGCGTAAGAGCGTTGTGATCATTACAAGGAATTACAAAGGCTTTGGCCGCAGGGGCCATCAGCGAGTTACGAACATAAAACCCTAGATCTAGTTGAGTCGCAGCTCGATAACGAAAGACGGAAAAAGATAGGAAAAAAGGTTTGATTGATTTCGGACTGAACCTTATGAAAGGCTGCCTACGTACCCCTTTCGGCGATCAAGTCGAACGTAGTTCAGTTGATAGAGCTGGACCAAAGATCGAACTGCCTGGGCGAGTTCGTCTAGTGATTGAGCGCCAGTCATAGAAACCAAACTTGTCGAGAAAAAGCCTAAGTTTCTAAGTGCGGAAAATTTTAAGTGTAGAAAAGTTGTAAAAGTCTCAGATGAGAGCTCTGAAATTCGTCCCTCAGCTTCTGCCCTATGCCTCCTCCTTATATACTCCTCCTTAGGCGGTTTTTGTCTTTCCATTTTGCTCGAAACCGAATATTTCGGGAACTTTCCATATCTGTCGATCCTTCCTTTTCTTCTGCGGAAATCTTCTATTTATCTTCAAACTTGCCTTTTATCTTCCGTCTGCGAGTAGACCGTCAAAGCGTTATCGTATCTTTGGGTTTGATTTCATTAACGTCGCGAGATGGGTTTTATCGTGTTTTAGGACCTTTTGGGCCGTTTTACGATAAAAACCGTTTTACGACTTTAACGAGACCAATTCCTGATCCGATGCCGTTTTTTACGATTCTCTCGACGTTTTTTTTATTTAAAACAAGTTTTTTTATGATTTTAACGAGAAATCTCGAATAAATCGTATAGTTTAGGCAATGTTCGGTGTTTCGTTTAACCGTTGCCGTTTTATACAATTTCCTCGAGTTCTTTTCGAGAAAGCGAAGTTTTACGGTTTTTATCGTAAAACTTGAATGTAGGTCGGATCGAGACGGAACAGGTTTCAGAATGCGACCGTGTCGAAAGACGTAAGTTTTGAATCGGGGATGCGGGAGATCGAGGCGCGGGATATCCGAGAAGTCTTTAGTTCGCCCATCGGCGAACTAGTTGAGTGTCTCTTAGTTCGCCCATCGGCGAACTAGTTGAGTGACTCCTAGTTCGCCCATCGGCGAACTAAGCCGGGCCGGCTTAGTTCGCCGATGGGAGAACTAGTGGAGTGTCCCTAGTTCGCCCATCGGCGAATCAAGCCGAGCCGGCTTAGTTCGCCCATGGGCGAACTAGTCGTGACTAGTTCACGTTTTACGGCTGTTTCGGTTTTTTGCGGTTTCGTAAAACGATTCTTCGAGTTTTATAAAACGGCTTCTCGAGTTTTATAAAACGGTCTGCGAGTTTTATAAAACGATTCTTCGAGTTTTATTAAACGATTCTCGAGTTTTATAAAACAATTCTTCGAGTTTTATAAACGGCTTCTCGAGTTTTATAAAACGATTTCTCGAGTTTTATAAAATGATCTCTCGAGTTTTATAAAACGGCTTCTCGAGTTTTGTAAAACGATTTCTCGAGTTTTATAAAATGATCTTCGAGTTTTATAAAACGGCTTCTCGAGTTTTATAAAAAGGTCTGCGAGTTTTATAAAACGATTCTTCGAGTGTTATAAAACGATTCTTGAGTTTTATAAAACGATTCTTCGAATTTTATAAAACGGCTTCTCGAGTTTTATAAAACGATTTCTCGAGTTTTATAAAATGATTTCTCGAGTTTTATAAAACGATCTTCGAGTTTTATAAAACGGCTTCTCGAGTTTTATAAAACGGCTTCTCGAGTTTTATAAAACGGTCTGCGAGTTTTATAAAACGATTCTTAGAGTTTTATAAAACGATTCTCGAGTTTTATAAAACGATTCTTCGAGTTTTATAAAACGGCTTCTCGAGTTTTATAAAACGATTTCTCGAGTTTTATAAAACGATCTTCGAGTTTTATAAAACGGCTTCTCGAGTTTTATAAAACGGTCTGCGAGTTTTATAAAACGATTCTTCGAGTTTTATAAAACTATTCTCGAGTTTTATAAATCGATTCTTCGAGTTATATAAAACGGCTTCTCGAGTTTTATAAAACGATTTCTCGAGTTTTATAAAACGATCTTCGAGTTTTATAAAACGGCTTCTCGAGTTTTATAAAACGGTCTGCGAGTTTTATAAATTACTTTGAGTTTTATAAAACGACTCTTCGGGTTTTATAGAACTATTCCTTTTATAATTTCGCAGGGAGTTTTTGGCTATTAATTCCGTCGTACCGATTTTGACCCCAACACCCTTAAACGTCAACATAGCCGAAAGATAGTCCGCATCAAGGGACATCCCACGCTCATAGCCTAATACCAAAATCCCGACAAGGTGTTGCAATCCACGAGGACGTAGTTGGCCAAACGGTACACCAAACCTATCCAAGAACTCGACAATGGCTCGAGGAATAGGGAACCAAAGCTGACAGTTCAACAGGAAGGCCTCGTAGCATGAAAAATAACCCGGGGTCGGGTTCTCGACATCCTGGCCTGGGACGGGAAGGCAAAACTGGACTGACTCAGGAATTTCACGGAGATTCCTCATATCTCTGAGGGAATCGACAGTGCTTGCACTCGGACCAACCGCCCTCCTCCGAGGTTTATCTTTCTTCGGGACCCAAAAACTCGAAGGCGGCACCCTCGCGGCCTTCAAGACTGAACAATATTCCGAAAACTTCTCCTCGGTCGTGAAAAAACGTTGAAAGACCGGGCTAGGAAGGGGACAATCGCCCGAGGTATCAAGGTCGCTCGGATCAAAGATAGATGCATGAGCATGATCCAAAACTTTCCGTTCAGAAGACATGTTCGACGGTCAAAAGAGAAGGGATCCAAAGGAAGAAGTAGAAAGAAAACTTCTTGAGACTTAAGCAACTTATGGAAAATGAGTGAATAACTTGGGAAACTCATTCCATATACTTATAGGAAAGGATTTTACTATTCACCCTTGGACTTTTGGCCATTAAAGTTCTGCCTAATTCTACCAAACTCGCCAAACAAGCTCAATCCACTCACAAGAATCCCACGATTCTCACGAGCTGGGGGGCTAACTGTTGGGGTCAAAATCGGTACGACGGAATCAATAGCCAGAACTCCCCGCAAAAATACAAAAGGAATAGTTTTATAAAACCCGAGAAGTCGTTTATCGAACTTGAAGGTTCGTTTTATAAAACTTGAGATCGTTTCATAAAACTCGAGAATCATTTTTTAAAACTCGAGAATCGTTTTATAAAACTCGAGAAACTCGTAGATCATTTTATAAAACTCGAGAAACTCGAGAATCATATTATAGAACTCAAAGATCGTTTTATAAAACTCAAAGATCGTTTTATAAAACTCGAATATCGTTTTATAAAACTCGAGAATCGTTTTATAAACTCAAGAAACTCGAAGATCGTTTTATAAAACTCGAAGATCGTTTTATAAAACTCGAGAATCGTTTTATAAAACTCGAAGATCGTTTTATAAAACTCAAAGATCGTTTTATAAAACTCGAAGATCATTTTATAAAACTCAAAGATCATTTTATAAAACTAAAAGATCGTTTTATAAAACTCTAGCTCGAAGATCGTTTTATAAAACTCGAGAAACCTTTTATAAAACTCGAGAAACCGTTTTACAAAACCGCGAAAAACCGAAACCGCCACGAAACGCGAACTAGTCACGACTAGTTCGCCTGCTGGCGAACTAAGCCAAGCTGGCTTAGTTCGCCAGCAGGCGAACTAGAAGCTTCCAATCTAGTTCGCCTCCTAGCAAACTAAGCCAGCTTGGCTTAGTTCGCCAGCAGGCGAACTAGACGGTCCCCGACTAGTTCGCCAGCAGGCGAACTAGAGACGTCCCAGACCTCCTGCGCTCCCGATTCAAAACTTACGTCCTTCGACACGGTCACATTCTGAACCACGGCCGAAATGTCTCCCGTTTCATCTCGATCCGATTTATCCTTTGAATTTTACGATAAAAACCGTAAAATTCCGTTTTCTCAAAAAGAACTCGGAGAAATCGTATAAAACGGTGACGGTTAAGTAAGACACCGAACATCGCCTAAACTATACGATTTATCCAAGATTTTTCATTAAGATCATAAAAACACGTTTTTAATAAAAGACGTCGAGAAAATCATAAAAACGGCATCGGATCAGGAAACGGTCTCGTATAAAGTCGTAAAACAGTCTTTATCGTAAAACGGCCCGAGAAGTCCTAAAACACGATAAAAACCCATCTCACGATATTAACGAGATCAAACCCAAAGATACGCTAACGTTTTGACGGTTTACTCGCAGACAGAAGATAAAAGGCAAGTTTGAAGAAAAATAGAAGTTTTCGGCGGAAGAAAAGGAAGGATCGACAGAAGTGGAAAATTCCCTATATATTCGGTTTCGGACGAAATGGAAAGATTGAAACCGCCCAAGAAGGAGTATATAAGCAGAAGGCATAGGGCAGAAGCTGGGACACGATTTTCAGAGCTTTCACCACCAAAACTAGCATTTAGGAATATTTTCGTTTTCTGTTAGCGAGATGCGTCTCAACTAGGGTTTTCATTCTTAGACTTCTAGGGATTTCGCCGACGGCTCATACGGCTAAGGCTTCTCTTGTTGTAACCGTTCTTACGCAGATTCAGAATAAGAACCTCTTTGCTTTTGATCTCGTTTATTTTCATTTGAGTTCTAAGTTATCGTTTTCTTAATTTTCGTTGTGCGGTTCTGCAGATAGTCGGTTCCTCTGGAAACTTAGGGTTTTCCCGAAGTTTCTTTTTTTACGATTTATTGACAGTGAGTGGATTTCGGTTCCCACACTGATTAAAGAAGATGAGGTAGTGGAACAGGAAGGAAACTAGGCGATGATGGTCTTGTTAGGCATGATTTGTACAGCAGCAGGAACACGAATGCTTTGCGTTTTAGGAACAATGCTTTTGACAAAGTTCGCCAGTTGCGCTATATTTGCTTCTATATTGTCATCCACAGGAGAAGGCTGTGTTATCTTATACCCTTCTTCTTCACGCACGAAGATATGCTTCAACAATCTTGTCGCGTCTTTTGTCCTTGGCGAGAAGAAAGTCATGATAAAGAGTTTTGCTTCGAAAGGAAGGTCACTCGGAATCAGTAGTTCTTGGCCCATCATGAGATCATCTACTTCGTAGTTCTTATGACACCAAGGTCCCTCTCCAGTGTACATCTCAAGCACACAGCACCCTCTCCAGTGTACATCTCAAGCACACAGCACCCCAACGACCACAAGTCAGGATCTTTCCCTGTCTCGCCATAAGAAACCGAGTCCGGGCACATGTAGATCGATGTTCCCGCAAACGGACGACTAAGGTTCCACCAGCTACTGTCTCCTTCCCTTCTCGTCAGCCCAAAATCAGATATCTTCAACTCGAAAGAAGAACTCCACGCGCCGTTCTTGTAGACGTATCTAGGGAAAACGAGGATGTTCTCCGGTTTGAGGTCGCAGTGAACGTAGCCGTGTGCGTGAATCGTGGCTAGCCCTTGAAGAAGCATACGTGTAAAGTCTCTGATCAGAGGATCAGGCAGCTTCTGGTCTTTGAATTTGTTGATGAAACCACTCAGGCTCCCTCCTGGAGCGTATTCCAAGGGAATCTTGTACTCCAAGCAACCTAGTTGGTTGAGACTTGCTTCAACTCTGGTCTCGTAGCACTGGACGATTCTCGGACACCCTTTGAATTCAGACAGAATTTGAACCTCTCTCACGAGAGCCTCGGCGTGTTGACTATCGGACGTTTTAACGGCGACGGTGATCATAGCACCGTCGTAGCGTATGCGTTGATAGAGACTCACCGAACCAAAGGAACCTTGACCTAGAAGCCTAACAAAGTGCAAATTTGGCCCTGCCATTGCAGAAATTGAGAGAGCAAAAAAGAATGGATTCTCGAGGAAGTGAAACCCTAAGTGGAGTGAAATCTGAGAGAATTAGCAAATAACGTTGGTCAGAGAATCAAATATATAACTTACCGAAAGAAAACGCGTAGACAACTCACAATTTCCTTTTTTGCAAAGTCACTATTTTCTTTTTCTCTTTTTCCTTTTTGCAAGTCACAATATAATGGAGTTACCAAACTAACAAAAAAGAAAAATAATAAAATCTGCTTTTGTTAGCAGAATCCAGTATAGTATATTTTTAACAGTTGGATCAATTATTTTACGAATATGTTTTGGATAATTTTATTTTATATTTATCAATTATAAAAAACAAAATCTTAATCCAGTCGGTAAAACAATTTTTACTCTGCTGGATTTGCATTAGACTGGTCGTTTTTGACTAAAAATAAAATGTCCTGATTTCTTTTATATTACACATAAACTTGTGTTTTTATCCCTAAAAAGAAATAGACAAAATCAGATAATAGTCTAATTAACAGTTGTATCAAACATTTAATTTATTGATCACCCGGTGTAAACACTCCCGCACGGCTATACTGAAAAAAAAAACTTTTGTGTTTGAACACCTAATTCATTTCAAAAATTATGTAGGGAAATTTATATATATACCATGATTATACAGAAAGTATTAGTAGCTTAGATTTTCAAAGTGCTTCCATAGTTATTTCACGACAGTCAAAAATACACATGGACAAATACCTCTTAATCTCAGTAGCCTATGTCGTGTTCCAATTCATGAGAAAATTATTATAGCGCACACACAACAAAATATAAAATAAAAATTAAGACCTCAGTCACACGGCAATCACAATCTGAAATGATCAGTAGAATGCAGAGGACCCAACCATCGCTAAAGCCAACACATAACAGCTCTTTAGGCACCAGCCAGGAATTAAACCCGGATCTGTACTTTTTACCCACTGTAAAACTCTTAATCCGCACGGTGAAAATATTGTTCACTTTTTTGGATTTGTAGTCAACTATAATCTTCAAAAATTCGATGTTAACTAAAAATAATGTTTTGATTCTGTTAAAATTCCACAGAAATTGTGTTATCACTAAAAAAAATAGAAATATTTAAATAATATTCAAACAATTCGATCAAGCATTTAATTTAATTTAATTTAATTTAACTTTCACTTGACTCCACATAAAAACATGTCTCTAATACAATTGAAGAAAAAAAAGTTTTTAGTATAATTTTTATCTAAATATACTATAACATTTAGTCAAAATTTGGCATTTGATCCCACTAATTTATGTACAAGAAATCATATATCCCGATTAATTTATAAAAAAATATTTTTGTTAAAATAATGTATATAAGATATTAAATTTATATATTATGACTCTAAATCAAAAATATTTTTGGCTCCATCATTGGGTACAACACTTTGAACCACACGTTTATACAAACTTATGATACCACAGATTGTTCACTATTGAGGTAACTGGAAGTCATAAAATCTTAAAATTATGGACGTACAGAAGTAGGCTTAAGCGATCTTGTAAACATGCATTTGATTAGATTACTATTTGAAGCCAAAGCTAAGTCATTCAAGGCCAGAATGACAGTCTCTTCTCAACATATCCCATTATCTTATGTTATGCATGTCTTCATTGAGGCTAAAAAGAAACATGATGGTTGGGGTGTGTAGGTTCGTCTAGCTGTTTCAGGTGCTTTCCATACAAGTTTCATGGAGCCATCAGTGTCTAGATTAGAGGCTGCATTGGCATCAACGGAGATCAGATGTCCAAGGATCCCAGTGATCTCCAATGTAGATGCGCAGCCTCATGCAGATCCAGACACAATCAAGAAGATACTTGCACGCCAGGTAAACTAGTCAGTTCTTCATCATTAAGACTATATTTTATTTTTAAAATAAAGACTCAAAACGGTGTTGAAACCCGGCCAGGTGACATCTCCAGTCCAATGGGAGACGACAGTAAAGACTCTCTTATCCAAAGGACTTAAGAACAGCTATGAATTGGGACCTCGAAAGGTATATACAGTACTTTTATTGGCTTCGTAATCTAAGTTATATATTTCTGAAGTTTCTTCGTCGTCTTAGTTGTGTGTGTTTTTTCAAACAACAGGTAATTGCACGGATATTTTAAGAGAGTAGATAAAAGCGCCAGTGTTGAAAACATCAGTGCTTGAGACTCACTCTAATGTTTTACAAGTTTGGAGTTTAAAATTTTGTATTGAATATTCATGTAACACTTCGCACACGATATATGTTGAGATATCTTTATCTATTTAGATAGTAAAGCTCAGTGGCAGAGCAATCTCTTTACCGATTGTTGGGCTCCTTCGTAGCTTACTGATAAGTGATAATGAAGAAGAGAATGCCATGATATTTGATTCAGTTATTATGTAATCACAAACTTAGCAGTTAGCACACACAAAAACTTAAAAGGTTAGTCACACGGCATTGATATCCAAGAATGTCATAATAATACGGTAAATCCGTATGAGATCATCAACAACACAACCATGAAGTCACGTTCATGAAACGTGATACCGTTTTTCATTTACCAGGAGTTAAAAGAGAGAATCAACCCAAGAAACAATAGTGAGAAGAAAATTACAAAGAATTAGAGAAGAAGGTAAAGAAGAAACTAAACAATATTATAAAAAAAAAACTAAACAATATTTTCTTGACAATTCTCAAATGATAATTCTTTTAAAAGTTGACAAAAACCTGTGAAATCTTGATACAAAAAAACCCTGTTCGGAGAATAGACGCTGCGACAATCATTGTGATCATTATGAACTTAAGAAACAAGAACCTCACTTTTATTATTATAAGAAATATATATTTATATAGTTAGCTACAAAAATACACTGTCAAATTCATAGGTGATAAGACTCACCAACTCGTTAACCCAAGACTGAGTTAAGCATAATCGACATACACAAGTCTTCGTTAAAAACAATTTGGTGCATGACGGAAAAGAGTTGAAAATTATTGTACTTAATACAATTTAGCTAATATTGTTAGGCATGAAATAACTCCATCTCATTAAAGCATTAAAATAACTTTAAGACACACAATCACAAAGATAGTGATATAAAGCTATTTTTTTTTCTTTTTAAGATATTCATCTCTTATTTTTTTTCTATTATAGAAACTTTAGTTTCTTTTACATTTGAAGTTTCTAAAATTGAACAAGAATACATAATTTTGTGTCACAATCATTGTGCTCACTATAAACTTAACAAACAAGAACTTCACTTTTATTATTATTAGAAATATAACTTAATACCAATGTTTTGAAACCCGATCCGGACCCTTGGTTGAACCGGTAAACCCGGTGACCCAAAATAAATCCGGTTCGGGTTTTGTTAAAACCCCAAAATTTAAAAACCCGCAAATACCCGATGCATGTTGAACCACTGGTTGAACCAATAAATAAATTTTAATTATTTTTTTAGTTTTAAATTATGTTTTTATGCTATTTTATATTCTAAATTTCTAATTTAAAAGTTAGGTTTTCACGGTTTAGTTATTAGCATTGCAGACTTCTTCATGTTCTCAAAGTGCTCGGCTTTGTATATCCTTGGATTTTTATTTGCTATAGAGTGGTCGTGTGGTGTACGGTTAAAGTCATTAGCTTCTTATGGTGGAACCCTTTCATGTTCTCAAAGTGCCTGACTTTGAGAGGTTTTGGTGTGGAGCAAGTCATAGTCACAGTCAATAAAATGGATATTGTTGCGTATTTGACAGACATATTTGGTATGATTAAGTATGCTGGATCTTTTCTGCATTCCTGTCGCTTTAAAGAAGCTGACATGGATTCCATTAAAATTGCCATGGAAAACCAAAGCTTTGTTTCAGCTCCCTCTGAAAGACACCTATCCTCATGGTAGGTTGTTCCTGTTTCTATTTCCTGATACCTAACCTTGCATTTCTGGTGTAGTTAGCTGATGAATTGCTTAGCAAATCTGAAGCAGTCCATGCCATAGTTTAATTTTTTTTTCTTATGGATTTGCCTTTAGTATGTTGTTTAAGGAAATAGACTGCTTCAGCTGATGGCTTACATTGCTAAAACTTTTTGATAGGTAATGATTATGCTATAGGAGATCAAGGAACCATGCGGTCCCTAGAGCTTGGCATTCAGGGTTGAGCCATTGTGAGAGCTAGAGATAACATAGCAATAGCGTTGCAAGGGACTGATGCAAATCAAGTAATTACAAGAGGTGTATTGTGCCACCCTTATTAGCCGGTTTCAATAGCAATTTTGAACTGAAAAAAATCAGGTTTGTGTTTTATTTATTTAATGAATATGTAAGTATGTTCTAACAACCTAAATATATGGATCAAACAGATTGAAGAAGAAAAGGCATTAGCAAGTGATAATAACTCACTTGAAGCAAACAAGAAGAATGAACCAAGTGTCTCTCTGATCTGAGGAAAGTATGGGTTTTCCTAGATACTAAGAATAATCACAAACCACTAAGATCACCATACCTTTTATTTCAGGCGCACTACTCGAAGAAATCTGAGCACAAAAGGTTGTTTATATTTACATTTTTTTCACTCCAAATAACGTTTACTTAGTGTATAAAAGCTTAAAGATTGTAATTCTTTAAAAAATGTGACAAAAATAAGAGAATGTCTGTATTATTTTGAGGGGATTTGCGTATGAGTAAAATACCTATGTTATCTCCCACATTCACGTTTAGGGGTGGAAGTAAAATAACATTAGGAAAAGAAAGCACAGGAGGATCATTTCCATGCCATTGTTATCGAAACTGATCTCTCTTTCTCCCCAGTTCATGATCAAGTATAATTGCAAAAATATATGGGCTACTTAAAGAGCTTGGAAATCAAGTATATTTATTCATGTTTTTGGAAATCATTATTACTCAAAACATGAAAATCACACAAAGCATAGAGTTAACAATCCCTAATCTTATTAAATAAAGAAAGTTTTTCTCTCCATTTAAA